CTTCCTGCCTTACTCAAGTCTCCCAAAATGCCATGCCTTAGTTATAAATCCTGCAACTTAGCGGCCATCTGCTATGAAACAGTTGAATGCACCAACACAGATACATAGGCCTACATACTGTATATATGTGCGCACACACACACACACACACACACACACACACACACACACACACACACGCACTCATTTTCCAGAGTGTGCCTCCAACATTTACACTGCAGTGATTGTATCTTCTCTGTCAGAGCTGCAGGCCCTCAGGTCGCAATCAGCACAGATGACACAGACATGCTGATTGGCCTCCAGTCATCCTCCAATAACAGCTCATGAATAAGAAATGCAGCAGGAAAAACACTCCAATTAAAATGCATTAATTATGCAGGGAGCTCAGCGAGACGAATTTCAGCGTACTGTAGCCAGAACAGACGTCACATTAGCACTCGGTTTTGCTTGTAAAGAACAGTTTCTTCAGGAACTGCTCAGGGCCCTTCATTTTTATGTTCTAGATTTAATTTAAAAAAAATAACCCTGATTTTTATACACCATCAATCTACAATGAATTCTTAATGAAAACTGAACTCTCCTTATTAAATTAAAAAAGTTTTCAGAGACTTAATTCAGTACTTTGTAGAGGTACCCTTAGCTGCAGTTATGTAATTGTGTCATGTTGGAAAAGCCTCCACAGGCTTTTCCTGTCGATGGTGGAGGTCTCCAAGATGCAGCACCTAGATTTGGGCAGTTCATCCCATTTTGTTTTCTACCTCTTGTCAGGCTTGGCAGGATGGCATGGCAAGCATCTGAACCGCTGTATTCAGAGTTTTCCACAGGTAGTCTGTGGGGTGTTGGCTGAGACACTCAACTTCAGCCCTAAAGACTTGTCCTGAGACCATTCCATTATTATCTTGGCCAGTTTAGATTCTTGTTACGCTGAAAGCTGAACTGTAGTCCCAGTCTTTGGTCTCTGGAGGGGGTTTTCTTCAATAAATTCTGTTTGGCTGCATTTATTCTCTTAGTCCTAACTGATCTCTCTTACCCTTTCTCCTTCTTAGAAGCACCACCACAGCAGGGAGCTACTGCCACCATCCTTCACTTAGCTGTCTTTTTTTCCTCGTGTTCTCTCAGCCCTTTATATACAATTTCTTAAGCTCTTAGCAGTCATAAATATTTCGCTCAGACTGACTTTCATCCAGCTGTTTTACTGTAAAGGTCTAACTAGTGCAGTGCTGTTGAGTTGGTTTGCATGTTTTTTTTCTCTGCAGAGGGCTTGTCTTTTTAGATGTATGATGAACTCTATGAAAAGGTTAGATGGTATCAAAGCACCAACTATAAAGAGAAATTGTTTGATACCAAAGTGTTTGGTATCATACATACACTGCTCATACACACTTCAGCTGTGGTGGTTTGCATTGAGACTCTTGGACCTTTACTTCGTAAAGGTTTATTGAGTGTAGATTGATGGGTAAAAATTGTCAATATGAGTTCAAGAAGTGAAGGAACTTTTTATAGTGAACATAAGGGACTTTTTTTTGGTGGGAAGGTTTTCAATTAAGCCTGTGCTATTTATAACTGAGTGTGTGTGTGTGTGTGTGTGTGTGTGCTCATTAGGGACTGTTAATTCTCCTGGGATGAACTGTAAGGTCTGCCAAGACATCATTAAACCATTAAAACACATGATTACCATCAGGAGGGTACACAGTGAGGAAAATGGAACACGAGAATGAACAAACAGATCAGTAGATTTATCAATACTCAGCTCAATCTGCACCCCAAAGGGGTCATTGTCCTTGCTAAGTCATCTCTCACCCTGTCCTCCTCCCACCTCTCTCTCTTACCCTCAGGCTCGCTGGGTTCAGGCAGATGGACGGAGCATCCGGTTTTCCCAGCGCAGCGTTTCTTGGAAGAAGGAGAGTCTTTCCTGTCGTTGGCCGTGGAGACAGCTCTCATTGGACTGGGGCAGCAGAGAGTGATGCCAGACGGCCTCTACGCTCAGGAGAAAGTGTGTCGCAATGAAGAGCAGCTATTGGGCAAGCTTCAAGAAATTGATTTAAATGACATGCTGGTGAAGATCTTCCGGAAGCAAGCTGTCTTACTGCTAGAGGGTGAGTAGGACCCAACATTAAGCTGCTTTTTCGAACAGTGAGCCATTGCTGTAATAAGTTTTTTTTTGAGTAAGTTCTTCTCCCATAATGCCATATAT